AGGAGGAGGAGGAGGAGGAGGAGGAGGAGGAGGAAGAGGAGAAAAAGAGCAGGGGGAGGAGGAAGTAGTATGTTTGTTAACTCGTAAAATAACACACTGGGCAACATCTGTTGTCCTCATTTGCAATCGGGTGATGTTTTCTGCCTGTCTTAAAATCAGTCGACTTGAAATACAAAAGCAAAAACAGAAGCAAAAAACAAAACAAAAAAACCCACAACAAAAAAACGAAAAAGAAAAGTAGAGACCAGAAGAAAAAAATACCAGCCTGCTCAGTTCATTTCAACCTGTTACTCCTGCCTTCCACCTCTTCTGCTATAGGCGGGTAGTTGGAGGGCGCTACTGTTAGGCCTTCTTTTCTCCCCCCCCCCCACCCCCTGTTGATTCAGCCTTTCTGTCTTCTTTTTCCTTCCCCAGTACTGCATGGCAGTTATTGCGTTAGTATTCTTCTGTTTAGTCAAACAAACATACAGACAAAACTCTTCTGTAGTGACAGTGTCATCTTTTCGGATGTGCAGACACACGTTGTGTTTTCTCTTTCTCTGTGTCTCTCTCTCTGTTTCTCGCTTTCTTCTCGTAAATACAGTAGGTATTAAACTTATTGTGTTCGTCTGAGTCTGCTTCTATCCTTTCTTTCTCCCTTCTTCTCCTCTGTAGTCAAGGAGACGATTGTTCTGATGTTTAGACACCTGTGATGTTTTCTTTTTCTTCCTGTTTCTGTCTGATTCTATCTTTCCTTGTGGGTGGTTGGCGGGTGCTCTTGTGTTGTTTGCTTCTTCTTTCCTATCAAACATCTATCGTCTGTATCTCCCCTCATTCTTTTTTGTGTTTGTTACTCTCTTGTAACACCTCTAATCTTCAGCACTCATATGACTTTATTGTGTTTCAAGTGCCGTAAAACACTTACTAAAACTAAACTATCCTTCCTTCCTTCTCACCTGTTGTAGTCACAGTGCCGTTTGTTGTAACTTACACATTTTTATACATGTGGCGTTTTCTTTTTCTTCTTGTCTCTGTCTGTTTTTCTCCTTCCTTCCTTCTCCTGTGCTGATTGTCACGGTGTTGAGTGCTCTTTTGCAAACAAACGCGCGTGGCATTTTCTTTTTCCTTTTTGTCTCTGTCTGCTTCTATCCTTCATTCCTTCTTCTCTTCTTTAATCACGGTGTCATGTAATCGAACGTACACATCCATATTGCGGTATTTTCTTTTTCCTTTTTGTCTCTGTCTGCTTCTATCCTTCATTCCTTCTTCTCTTCTTTAATCACGGTGTCATGTAATCGAACGTACACATCCATATTGCGGTATTTTCTTTTTCCTTTTTGTCTCTGTCTGCTTCTATCCTTCATTCCT